AATAATATTAATAATAACAAAAGGTCATTTTTACTTCTTTTGCTTTGAATGTCTCGCAGCCTGTTAAGAAAACAGCCCAAAGCCTGACATTTGATAAAACCATTTCACCATGTAAATGTCACCACTCAGATTAGTCACAAATAAAAATGTGTGAAACACAGACGTCTTCCTGCTGTTGTTGCATTCCTGTTCCAACAATAAACAAAATGTGTTTTTTGTCATATTTAAGAATCAAATCAAGCCATCTCCAAGGTTACGTTAAAATCAAAATGGAAATTAAATTGAACATAATTATAATGGCTTGAACCAAAAAAGTTTTTAACCCAAAGCAGAGACTATAATAAACATGTGTTGAGAGGTGTCCAGATAGTGACCGCTCATTGGACTGTGGTGCGCTCTCTTTGGGTGGGCCTAGAGATGCACTTTCATTTAAATCATGCCTGTTTGACTCATGTTGTACACAGACACTTTCATAAGCCTCAGCCTTGAGGATGTTTAGATGACCAGCAGCAGTCATAACAAGGTAACTTATGAACTGCGTGTGTTTTATGGTGTGGTCAACGGCTGCCTGTCCTGTTAGCAGAGTCGAATGCTGCCGTTTCACTCCTTTACTGAGGCTACCATGTGTAAGATAACCACAGTTTACCCATCTACACCAGGAGTGTAGAGAGAATGTAAACGTTTGCAGGTGCAGTAATGCTGTGTGGCTGCTTCGCTGTGTCGTGGGGTGAGATTGGTTGGTTTAATCTCAAGAGATCAGCTGTGCATTCAAAATCAGATTCTTTAAGATCAGCAATTAGTGGAATTGTCCAGAAATGGATTTGTCTCCCGTTTTACATTCTGAGTGACCTTTTTCCCAACGTTCTGGATGAGTAAACTGTAATCAGAGAGAGAGAGGAAGGAGGATTAAGCCCCTCGTGCTCCACCCAAAGGTTCAAACGTCATGTTTCAAGTTGAACCTTTTTCTCCTCCCTGCTTACTTTCCCTTTTGCTCACTCACAGATGGAAAACACACACACACACCATGACACATAGATACAGGGTTTAAACAAACATACAAACGCAGTCCCCAGGTGATACCTCAGGCTCTGCCCAGTGTAGTGTGATGTAATGCTTCTAGGAAACGATGGAGAGGTTGGAAAAGGAGAGATGGGGTGGTGTGAGGAGAGGGAGAAAGAGGGAGAAAGAGGGAGAGAGGGCCCTAAAAAGAAAGAATCCTGCAGCTGTTCAGTCTGGATGTGTTGTGTTTGCTGCCAGACAACCAGTGAGCTGCCTCTAGGAATTCATCACCAGACCGTTGCAGTCACTCCCATCCCATAAAGCAGGAACAGCCTTGATATCTGGTCAACCTGTTCTTTGCAAACATCTCTTTTACCTCAAGTCAAGAAGGTGATATTTTCCATGCAGCGTGTCTCCAAGTGGGATTACACAAAAAAAGTTATTGAATTGATTTCCATTAAACTCTGTGGGTGGGCATGTCCCAAGGAATGGCTTTTAAAATTCCGTAACATCTCTGATTAAAGGTTTGTTCATAATCACATGAGCATGAGTCAATACCCTGGGCAGACAAACAGACTGGTCTGTGAATATGCAGATGGATCATTTACAACTTCACCAGTCTGTGAAGGGATAAAGAACTTGAGATAAGTGTTGAAGTCAAACCATACAATGAGTCAACAGCTTAATCTCACATTGACACATGTAGCTAATAATATCCATTTAACCTAATTCCTAATCTGCTTGTCGTTGGACTACGAACAGGAAATATCTTGTTGTCTCCTAAAATATAACCAAAAACATCTGTTTTAAATAGAGAAAATTGTTTGTGATTTGATTGCACTTCACTGCTGTGTTTTGCAGAGACAATATCATCTATTCTATTCTATTCTATTCTTCACCAGTACTTATACTTACTTTTAGAAATATGTCTAGTAGATGTGGGAAGTCTACGTCTCAGAGGACTACAGAAGCTAGGCTACGCTAAGACAAGATAAGATACATTTTAACCCCCCCCCCCCCCCCCCCCCCCCCCCCCCCCCCCCCCGCCCCCCCCCCTATGATGTCAAGGCCCGGAGGACCTGGACACTACATGTCCAGTGTCTCCCTTTGTCAAAAAGGGGACCAGTTCCACCTACTGAACCACACGTTGTCACCATAATAACTGGAGATCAATGAAGGCAACCTTAAATCAGAGTAGAAAAGGTAGCGGTGAAGGGTTAGATAAAATGGTAAAGTGGATTGTATAGATTTAACAGCAGATGTAAACACGTTTACAATTGGATGCAGCTGAAAACCTTTTTGTAAACTACATATAGTGGGACTGTCAGGTTGTGGGAGACTGATAAGATCCAGGTTTTAAAACATTTGTGTTTTAAAACCTGGTAAAACAAAGGCAAAATCTCTCTCTCTCTCGCTCCCTTCCTCTGGGTGTGTGTAAGCACATGCCCTTGAAACCTTTGTTTCAAACCCAAACACAAACGGACCCAGTTCTCAGACTCACATTTTTTTAAACAAAGCTCTTTGTTTACTTAGTGAGGTGATGTATTTTGGGGCTGCTGTGAAACTGCAGCTGGTACAAAAGAGGAGGTGAAAATGCACACACGTGTGTATGTTCACCCCATGACTATACTCTTACATTTAGACAATATCTCTGACAACAACAACAAGAACAACAAAAATAATACTAATACAGTGTCAGTTATTATTATTATTAAATATCAAACATGCGCATAATGGAATAAAACTACTTACAGCAAATATTTCAAACTGCTAATGACAAATTAGACAAGAATCAATGACTGCACACAGCCCTGCAGGAGGTGCGCATAATTAACCAGAGATGGGTAGATTACAATAAAATGGGATTTCATGATTATATACTTGTTGACACATTAAATACATTAGTGCACATGCTTAGAAACACTTGTAATTAACTTGACGCAACAATACGGGCTGTCTCAGGGCTGTCCACATGGGCCAAATAAAATGACTTGATGGGCTGGATCTGTTTGACACATTGTGCCAATTATACCCTGAAATTGGATGACTAATCCACCACCATACTGAGGTACTCTAAAATGCATTTACAACTGTGTGTTTTTCCACATAATACATTCACAAAACAATGTGGTATTAGGTCTTTATGTGAGTTTTATGTGATGGCAAAACTATAAGATTTATATCAACAAAGCTCTGCTCCTTTGAATTGTCCTTTAAAAGTCTATTTATAGCCCAAATTTGGCCAGCTCTGTAGGTACAGACAAAAAAGCAGCCTTACTTGGTATCAAGTAAGTGAGTTTGCTGGAGTTTCTCTTTCTTCCTTTTTAACTTCTGTTCCATGAAAGACTATTACAGCATTATCACTTTCTGGCAAAGAAACCCGTCTTTCACCAGACTGTTTTTTTTTGTGTGTTTTTATGTGCAGTGTGTCTTGGGTGGTTGCTATGACAACATGTAAGCATAAGAACACTCTTACTCACACACACACACACACAATGCAGCTGTTGTCTATGGCCCGAGTATCAAGAAGTGAGAAAAAAAAAAGGAAACTGCTCTCTCTAGTGGAAATAGTCGCTATAAATTAAACGTGCAGCGTTACGTAATATCCTGTATCTTTTGTCGTTAGTATAAACTGCCAGGTAATGCGAAGTCATAAATTCTGTCTTTGCTTTCCATCTGTTCAACTATTGATAGGATTGTATATATATATCTATATATACATAT